CACGCACAATACCGAAGGTCCCGAGTTCGAATCCAGTAAGGTGCAGGAGTCGTGGCTGTGCACTGCTGATGAGTCCCATACCAGGATGAAACGGCCATCCAGTGCTTCTAGGTTTCTAATGGTGTTCTAACAATGATTGATTGATGATTTCAAATAGTTATTTACATTAAACTAGAAACTTCTCGTGCAACTCACTCTGTTTTATAACATCACAGCACAAACATTTCACAGAAATTTTAATTGTGATTAGCGTATTTTTGATGAATAACTTTAATTCATTATGAGAAAATAAACATCAGAAAATGAAAAGCAATCACTCGGTTGAAGTATTTGACAAGATTTTTGAATATGAAAATAACAAATAAAATAACAACACTAAAATATAAGAACACGAATTTCTAAAAAAATAATTTGTGTATCCATATTTTTTCATCAATTATAAAAGTTATGTTTCAAAATATTTTGAAAGAAATATTGAAAAATACAGAAAATATATCATAATTATCCGGTACTATAAGAGATAACTTTATTTAACTTTTAAAACATTGAGGAAGTAAATTGTATTTATCTTTTTTTCTAAAATAAATGTCCATCATTAAAACTCGTTTAAAAAAGAATTTTGAATCCTACAACTAATCATTGAATAAGATGAAAGAAATCATTGTGATGTGTTTTTTCTTATTTGTGAATTATTCTTGATTACATCATTCTTATTAGGTATTAATTACATTTTGGATTTAAGAAAAAAAAATTGTCATAGCGCTCGAACAAAGTGTTATTTGAAGATAGCATGAAGATAACATTTGTAATTATAGTATTTTGTCAACAATACGTGATTGAACAGTGTGATGTAACATTTGAATTTGACTAAAGTAAAAACTCAAACTGTCTAAATTGATAAGTATATTAGGGGATGAGAAATCGTCCGTCCATTCAAGTACCCAACCTAGATATCTTGAGAAATTGTAAGATGTTGACTGAAACAATATAGACACTTGTAGTTTAAGAAAGCCAACATGAAACAGTGTTATTGGTGAGACAGGAATAACACATTTTATCTACATAACTAATGAAAATTCTGGCAAAATATTATTCTGTAATAGGAAAACAACATTGTTTAGTTGTAACGAATCGGATACAAAGTGAATGACCAAATGTCGATGAGCAATATATTAAGATTTCTCAGAACTAGGATTTTCCCGAAGTTAAATCACTCCAGTATATTTATTCTGTTTGTATATATTTATTCACAGATAGATGGTTGTAAGCAATGACAAGTGTAAAAATTTCCTATAATTCAAAATCAACATTCAATAAATGATTGACTGATAAATGTCATACTTTAGATTTTTAAAAAATGGATTAAATTTTCAGTAAGTTAAAACGCACTTTTATAAAAGTGTCTTATAGTCAAGTATATTTATCTTATATATATTTTTTTAGTGAATAAACATTTTAAAAATGATATTGTGGCATACAGTGTTAATTGTTTAAGTTTTATTTTTGATTGACAAGCTAATTATTCATATATACAATTATAAGTGTATTATTCTTCTTTCTGAATTACAATTATAAAATATTTTTTCACTGCCAATACATTTCAAGTAATACAAACAGACATTTTGTAAAAATCTGAATGAATTATTAAAAATAACTATCATTGATTAAAAAAGACAACCAGTTAGCTAACAATATAATGGTTATGTAGTTTCTTGTATAACGGACAGTAAGTATCATACAGACAGCTGTCGTCTGTGTAATGTATAATGAATTTTTTGTATTCATATTGCCATTATTGAAAAAGGTTGTAAGTCTAGTGAATGTATGCATACAACAGACATTACAATAGACACTTGATTGACATTTTCAGTATTTTGACAGAATGTATTTTTGTAATAAGAAAATGTATTTCTAGTTTAACTGTCTTTCATATTGTTTCTGATTACACTGAAATCAAACAACAATACATCAATTTATGCAAACTTGATCATTGTTCACAAATAAATTAACTGAAATTCGCTTTACCAGTAAGATCATCAGTGTTTAACTGATCATTCCACTGAAAATTGTGAAAGAAATATTTGAAGCATATCCTTGATGGAAAACTATTTAAACATGTAATAACTTGATTGAATAGGCACCATAATTGAACATTTAACCCATGTTACAACAATTACCCTGTACCGTTTTATGAACATGGCTAAAGTACTTTGTGTTACTTTTATAAGGACTTCGAGTTACTTTTCTATATTTGGGAGGCCTTGTTTGGTAAAAACCCTCCATGTATACATTTGTAATATGTTCTTGTTGACTCTTTCTGTTCTTCATTTCGATAGTCTGTTTAATCCCATTTTGGGATGTTAATATTTGTATTTTATTATAGTTTCTAATTTTTGTGCCTTTTTGAGTTTCTGTTTCTTCCCGCACTTTATTATGTTGTTTAAGTTGATAATTAATTATGGCGACAGCCATATCGAATTTTGATTCTTGAACAGTTGATACGTTCATCTGAAGTGGAAGGGTGCAATTTGGATCAAGATTTGGAGCCCCTTCCAGAATTGGAAACACTTTGTGTTATTACGGAAGGAGTAAAAGGTGTAATATCGTTTAGGTAATCATGGGTATTTGTAATTATGAATGGTAATAGAATCGGTACTTACCAAAATCAACTTGCTTTTTGGAATTTAACTGGGCAAGGCACGTATCTAAACTTTCTGGACAGTTATTCCTAAAATTAAAACTCTGTTTCGGTTTTACAGATGGCTTTTTTATATGTGTGAAAAAAATATTTAAATCATATCCTTGATGGAAAACTATTTAAACATGTAATAACTTGTTTGAAGTAGCACCATAATTGGACATTGAACCCATGTTACAACAATTACCCTGTACCGTTTTAGGAATATGACTAAAGTAATTCATATTACTTTTATAAGGACTTCAAGTTACTTTTCTACCCATTGAGTAGAAATGATATATATATATATATATATATATATATATATATATATATATATATATTTCAAACAGTTTGGTTTATTTTCCATTTTCAATGAAATGTGCGCCAGAGAAAATCGGGCAGTTATACTGAAGCATTAAGATACCAACTAGCTCCATTGTTGAAACAAACAATTTGTTCATAGTTTTTATTTCTTATATTTCCTAAACAATTTCGTCTAAATAAATTGCTAAACGATTAAACTATCTGTATGTACGTTTTTACGTGTAAACAGTTGACAAGTCACCTTGTTTAATCAGTTTCATTTATATTACATTTTATTTCAAAAAAGAAAAATTATATTTTTCGAAAATCAGCGGTTTTAAACAATAATATAATAATTTTTTAAAAAAAGTATCATTTATTTTTATTCTGCTTCAAAATTGAATATTAAATCATAGTGATAAATTGTATTTATTACAAAATATTTATTTTAAAGCAGTAACCTCCAACTGATTGTGTCAATTTATAAAAATAAAAAACTTCAAGGTTATTTAGATTTCAAATTATTATTATTCTATAAATAATTTTATATAAATTAATATTAATGATCATTTCAAAAAAATAATAATAGTTCGAAACACATAACAGCTCAATCAATAAAATGGTCATAGATACGTATCGAAAATGGGTATTGATTTATAAAGACAAAAAACTGACCACTCTAAAAAAAATCAATAACTTCTTTACCAAAGTTAAGATCGTTCATGAGTATCGATTTAAAGACAATGTAGCTAAATAAATGAGAAAGAGGATGATGTTTAAATTTTAAAAAGTTATGTAAATTTAACTTTTTATTGATTATTTTCCGAAGAGAATGGAAAGCGCGTTTATTAGTCACTCGATGGGTATGTTTCAAGGTAGTTAAAGAAAATTATTCTGTATAGTTGTGAAGGCGCGGAATACTGAATTAGGTCGAACATAAAACGAGTAATAAAACCTGAAATTTAGGATTGCGATGAGATAATAATTGATACTGAAACTAATGTTTTAAGTGAGATGGAGACTAAGTAAGTAAGCAACGTACATAGACATTGATACTTATTATTGTTCAGAACATCATTCGAATTACCGATGTTATTATGATATTTGTATCACAAATAAGAAGATTTAAGTTGTATTATATCAAAAATCACATATAATTCTCCTAATGCCCAAAATGTCAAGATTCTCGTGACAGTAAAAAGAACGAGACCCTTTAAAATATAAACTAATAAACATTGTTACTCAGGGGTTGTGGAGATTGCTAGATTTCATTGAAAACACTAATCGATTCGAGGTGGATAACTGCCCAGAGTTTGCAGTTACTAGATGGTCACTTTAAATACCAGGACCTTAGATCTCTACGAGGTCTAAGTGTGAAGTCGTGACAAGTGGCGTTCAATCAAATAGGGAGGGTTTGAAGCATTCATTGAACAAAAACTTTGATAGATCATCTCATAATTTCATGAACTGTACGAAGTTAGACAATGTACGTCATTAAATGTTGACTTGGTGATATGGAGCATCTCAGATCCTGTATTCAATACCTGGTTGCAGGGTTATGGATGCGATTTAGTTCCCAAACCATACTAAAACATCGGTGTAATACCACCTTGTTTTCGATAGTTATGTTGTTTAGATTGGCTTGTGATTTCATTGGAATTTACTAGACATCAAATCAAAGGGTTGCTTCAAAATCAGGTTAAGCCCAGTGGTAGATATTCTGAGAAGCTGCATTGGCTGTTCATGTGTATAATATACTCCATCAAAAACAGAGTCACTTAACTATTCAGTTTGACATAAAATTGTTCAATAAGGAAATTCCGATGTTTATACATTTTATTTTAAGAGTTCTTCATGTAAGTTTTTTTTACAGTAAAAATCTGGAATGATTACAGTAGAACTATTATTATTACTGTACAACTTTGTACTTCATGTCAGTTTTCACCAAGGCAGAAATAAAGTTATCATTACAATTTTCAATGATTTCATTGTATTTATTATCACTTTGTTCCTTCAGGAAGCTTCCGAAATTACTATATTATCTCCAAAAGAGGCAGAAATACTTCGAGAGAAAGTAAAACGTGAATGTGAACTTAATCGGACAATAGACGGTGAGTAATGATTTTTTTACCCGTTTATTTCAATTTATTGTCTATAGAAAATGTGTAATTACAGATTTCAGTGATATTTCCGATTTTACTAATAAAATAAGACTAAAGAAATGTTCATTTTAACAGTAAGTCATCTAGTCAGTCCATTGAAATTCATTTACTAAACCTATAAGACTCAGCCTTATGCAGTGACGACGTATTTCCTATGTTCATTACAAAACAGTTGAATAGCTCATACTCACTAATTAACTCAGTAAGTGGATCATTTCATATGATTGGTTTTAATAGTATGTAATAAATTCATTTGTCTATAGTGGACATAACTTTGAAACACTTCTTAAATGGTGAAAATCACGAGATCTACTTTTTGTTTTTATGGCAAATTCATTAAGCAATTCCGTAAGGCGTCCAATTTATCGATTTGTTTATGGTTGATAAGAAAGTGTAGTTTTTTGTCCATCATACAGTGAAATTTGGACGATTTCTTAATGAAATTGCACACTGTGCTTATCACTTATGTGGTAAATTTTTATCTGAAATAGGATATTAGTAAGAAATCGTTATCCACACAGATGTTCCCTTATGTCAGATTTGAAGCATTTGAAGATGGTCCTTTGGAAGTATAGATCACTTGAAGTTGAAGATCCACATTATTGGATGGTTCGGCGGTTTAGGAGTTAGGCGTTCGCTGGAAGACCTAAAGTTCTGGGTTCGATTCCCGGCCAGAAGTAGCGACGCATTGCTCAGAAGTCTTATACTAGGACCAAACGGCCGTCTAAAGCTTTCAGGTTCCAATTGTATACCTAACCTATGTCGATTCTTGTCATTAATAACATGCAATGATCTTCACAAACCTATATAGTGAACACTACAATTCCTTACTTTGTTATGCACTTAATTATTTGGAACCATTCTTTTCATATCTGTTAGGAAGCTTCTTTTATATTTTCCTCAAATCGTTTTCATGGTCAGGTTCATGAAAACTAGTAGTAACTGTACATCCACTTATTAAATAAAATTTAAGATATGTAGAGAAAGAATATATTCTTCACTGATTTTTTTTTCTGCAGATGCTACAGTTGTCTATGCATGTTCATTGATATAACATTTATTAATCATGTTTTCAGAATAAGTGTATAAAATTCGTGAATTCGTTAAGTGAAAGCAGATTTTATTGCTTAAAAAAATCACAGGTTTATGAATTTTTTATGCAATCTACTGCAATTTTTCTTGTTGTTAAACCTCATGCTTAGCTGTATTTTTTGTATGCTTAGTACTCACAAATATAATTTTAAATCATTATATAAATAAATTGTGATTGGAAATAATCTCTGAATCCGTTATATTTCGGGGCTTCAAATCTCCTACAGGTGACCTTAGTTATATTATTATTGTGAACAACATTTTTCATAGCATAGTCAATAAAGTTGAGTTAAAAAACCATGTAGAAAATCACAAACAAACATTCAAGGACTACAATATATTCAACATTATGTTTAAGACAGATTGATATTCATATATTGAAAACAAAGTGAGATAAGAATGTGAGGTGATTTCATAAATGGTAAGTGATTACGGCATTAACTTTAATATCCTTCGTAACTAATAGAATGAAGCTGATTACTATTTAGGTATTGACCTATTTATATTTCTCTACAAAATGTACTCCTCTTGGTTGTTTCTACCTTTCTTACGTTCAGATTCAAACAGCAGGATTAATCATTACCTGCATATTCCTTGGTGAATTTGGTATTTATATATATTTCCTTAACTCGTAGGATAATTAAGAAGGACAACTCATTTTATTACAAACGATCAATGTATTTGCATATTGAAATCCGTAGAAACCTGAAAGCGCTGGATGGCCATTTCGTCTTGGAATGGGACTCATCAGCAGTGCGGATAAACGACTCTTTCACCTCACAGGTTTCAAACCCAGGACCTTTAGTCTTGCGCGCGAACGCACAAACGTTGAACCATTGGACCGGCATCCGACATAGCTAATATATGAGTCTGATCAATCTAGGGATTTTGCGAGACCTCAAGGTTTGAATGCTGTAAGTGGCAACAGTTGTGGATGCGCACTGCTGATGAGTCTCACACCAAGACGAAACGGCCATCCATTGCTTCTAGGTTTCTAATGTTGGTCTTACAATGTTTGATTGATGATTTCAGTGTGTTGAAACACTGAATTCCTTAACTATAATTGAAAAATAAATATATTATCGATGCATCATTGATAGAATATCATATTTTTGATTTCGTGTTCTAGTTTTGTTTGTTCAACGTTGACATTATGCAAAACTGAAACATGAAGTGACTATTGGCGACTCGTGAAAATTCTTCGAATACAATGAATTGTGCAAGTTGTCATATTCTAGGTTTATTTAAGAAACAAAACTCTAATTTCATATCCTGGTTAAATCTAAACAATGTGTGTATTAATGTCAGTCCTGAATTGTTTTGGCACTGAAATCTATTTAAATGTCTGTCATTTAAGATAGGTTGATTAAAGTGATGTAAAAGAGACTACAAATTAAACAAGAAAAGTAATCATTTAATTCTGTTTTAAATATAAATGATTTTGAGATATAAATTTGGTCGGCCACTAATCCATCCTGTGTAATTAGTTTCCAACTATCTTCTCTCGATATTTTCAGCCTTATTTAATATCAGCAAATAGATAAAATGAAAATTTTCTTTAGAGTCGGGTGTAGGCAGTAAATACCAAAGACATATGAGTGAGATCACACAAATTCTGTAGATTGATCAGAGTAAGACATTAACATGGTTGGGTGTGGGCCCAGTAGTTCACAGGTTAGGCGTTCGCACGCAAGACCGTGGGTCCTGGGTTCAAATCGTGCAAAGTGCAGGAGTCGTGGATCAGCACTGCTATTGAGCCCCATACCAGGATGAAACGGCCATACACTGCGTCCTGGTTTCTAATAGTGAACTAACATGGATCGATTCATGAGTTCTATGTGCAACAAACACTAATCTCCCGAACTCTAATTGAAAAATAAGCGAAATGTCTGTATTTAAATGAGCTTCTTAGACACAATATATTTCATGTCGAAGTATTTTATGAAATACCACAATTTTTATTGGTAATACCCTAGAAAAAACAATGAAAAATTTTCAGCATGATTAAAACAGGCGTTCAACTTCTTTATATAAACTTAAATGAAAACTCATAGGTCTGTCTCAGGTTATCTGGAACTAAACGGTCACGATGAGGACTTTAAGCAAGATGCTCTTTTTTTAAAAGGTTCTCAGTACATTCGGTTACTTGTTTCCAGTTTTGTTTTGTTGTTATTGTGTAACTTACTGATAAGTTGTTTATGTATACCTACCACCTAAAGTTGTGTTTTGTACTAGGGCAGATGACGCTGACAAGCTACCAAATTTAAAGTAAAACGAGGCTTGTACTCGTAGATTTATGGTCGAACTAAATTCCTGCGAATATGTCTTTTCAACCAATTACAAGTTATAAAATCCAGTCTATCTGATTATCATTGAAAACTGAGAGACAGTAACTGTGCATCGTACATAAATCGATTACCCCATACCCATCTGAATTAATTAAATTTCACGGTTTGCCTTATCAATATCGTAAAATGTGCTCTAAAGACAAATGGGTTAGGTCACGCAAAATGCCTAGATCAATCAGAGTTAGATATTAACACCGTTAAATATCGGCCCAGTGGTCCAATGGTTAAGCGTTCGCGCACAATACCGAAGGTCCTGGGTTCGAATGCAGCAAGGTGCAGGAGTCACGGATGCGCACTGCTGGTAAGCCCCATACCAGGATGAAACAGCCGTCCAGTGCTTCTGGGTTTTTAATGATATTCTAACAATGACAGATTGATGATTTCAAACGTGTAAAACACTCATCTCCATAACTCTTATTAAAAATTATCAATAAATGAAATATTAATCAACAAATTTTAACTGTATAACGATAGAACACCTAAACTAAAACTGAACATTGTTCAATGAACCGATATTGTATACGATCACCAGCATATAAAACAATTTTCGAAGTGTTTTCATTCTGAAAATAGTCATAAACACTGACTGAAAACAAAGAAACAACTATCTGTTGATGTATGCTTAAAAATAGATTTGTGAAAAGAAAAAATATATATAGTTGACCATAAGAGAGAATGATTTCCAAAATTTTCTTGAAAATTAATTAAAAACTCATTTAATTCAAAGAAAAAAAACTAGTTTTCATGTTCAATTTTTTTTCATTTCTTCACAATTTATTATATTTTTTTCCTTAATCTGTTTCTTTTTTGTTTTAAAACGAAAAAAAGAAAATTATAAGCGGAAGCCAGTGAATTTTATCCAAGATTTATTGTTTTATACAAAATAAGAAAATAGGAAAAAAAATTTTTTTTTGCTGTCCAACAACAACAACAACAATTGACATTCAGCAATTTATTTGTTTTTAATTTTTATGATTAGAAATTGTTAATTCAATGCCAACTTTCATTAAACGAAAACAATAATGAAAACGTATTTTTTTTGAAAGAAAATCAGTCTCATTTGATCGAAACATAATTAATCTAATCAACAAAATGTTTAAATTATTTTCAAAAACATAGTGAACTATTGAATATAAGAATAGTTCAATATGAATTACAAAACTACAACTAGTTAAACTGTGATAGATTACCGACAAATTGAATATTGAATTAATAATAATAACTCACTGGATTAGTTGAATGAAAAGTTGTTTGACGAACAACACAGTTTTATGCTAATGAAGTTAAGTTCAAACATCAAAGTATAGAAGGAATATTAAAACTCTATGCTTTTCAAGCTATTTTTTGTTATTCTTCATAGAATTAAAATAGGAAATAATCAATTTTTTTCTAAATAACAGTGACAATTATTTGAAGGTAACTATTGAAATGACTTACTTACTTACTTACTTACGCCTGTTACCCCCAATCGAGCATAGGCCGCCCACCAGTTTTCTCCAACCAACTCTATCCTGGGCTTCCCTTTCCAGTTTTTTCCAGGTTTTGTTCATTCCTCTCATATCTTTCTCTATTTCTCGGCGTAATGTGTTCCTTAGCCTTCCTCGATTCCTTTTGCCTTGAGGGTTCCATGTGAGGGCTTGTCCTGTGATGCAGTTAGGTGCTTTTCGTAATGTGTGTCCTATCCACTTCCACCACTTCTTCCTGATTTCCTCCTCAACTAGAATCTGGTTTGTTCTCTCCCACAGTTCGTTGTTGCTGATAGTGTCTGGCCAACGAATACGAAGTATTTTGCGTAGACAACTGTTAATAAACACTTGTATCTTCTGGATAATGGTTTTGGTAGTTCTGCAAGTTTCCGCTCCATACAGTAGAACTGTCTTGACATTTGTATTGAAAATCTTTCATACATTTCGTCTAATTTGATTATTTTTTTGTTTACTATTCAATCATTGCGTAACCTAATTTTTTGATCTTTGAACTAATCTACAACTCTTCATACTTTCTGAAAGACTAAATGTAATAACAGACGTAAGCGACGTAACCAATTAAAATTTGGACCTTCATTCCCTGACACAATGATAACTCCTTATCCTAAACGAGTGATTCCTTCATAAGATAAAATCATCCCAGTAATAAATTTAATCTCAAATCAAATAACTTATTTCAAAAACAAAACAATTTTATTTTAAAAATAATTATATTTCCAATGAAATTACTTAATGACACACCCATTACCAATGATCACCTTTATTATATAAAATAATATCCTCTATTTTGATAGCTGCATTTATTAATGGTCGCTCTCTTCTCATTAGCGTGCATTTCCGCGCCTTCTTTCACTTTTCCTTTTCATAGTCACCCTTTTTTGTTTATAAATGGATACCATTGTCGAAAGGTAAAACAAAATTTCCGGATTGTTGTTGTTGTTGACAATGCATCTCATGCAATAATACATGGTTATTGAATTAGCTTTGTCCCATGTTTGGGACATTCTATACAACACAAGTGTAAACGGATAGACAGACGGATATTTGTGATATTTGTCATCACTATATTTAAATACTGATATCTTATGTTTTTTTGTCAATAAAAGAAAAATAAACCAATCAAAATATCACCATTGAATATTGAAAATTTAACTTTTAAGAGAAAGTAAAGTTTGTTTGTCATTAAGACCCTCCTCCATATCTGATGAATAAAAAAACGATCATAATGGGAAAGACGGCAAAAAAATGGCACAAGCTTTCATGAAATTTACTCGTTCGGATAAAATTCTGTAGGCTACAACCGGTAATCGTTTATGTAGAAAAATATGAATGTTTGAATGACACTTTTTAGTGATATTCAATCACATTTATTTCCGTGAAAAAAATTTCCACGTATGCATATTTTCTTTTTTCCGTATTTTGGTTCTTTGATATTCCATAATTTATGTCCTTATATAAATAATATGGCGTTAAGTAGTAATACTCTATTTTGAAAGAACAGTGATGAGAAGACGTAATTGATCTGAAAAATGTTGTGATGTATTTGCGCCCTATACGTATTTCGAACAATCTGGTCACACATATATATACACACTTGTCAAGGTATTTTATATGAAAATGAATAAAAGGTCAATTCAATAAAAGTTCAAATAGACATAAGATGATAATTATAAATAAAGGAGAGAGAAAAACTCAACGTAATATGAAAAGCATAAGAAACGGTAGGAAAATTGTCACATTACCCTAGGCTTAAAGATTACCAAGGTAAATTCAAGGTTATGACAAATTGTTTCTACACACATAAGGGGAGTTTTAATTTTCTAATAGCCAAGGCCTCCATAAATCTCAAAATTTGTCCTTCAACATTTCTATACAATGTTTTGAAGGCTGTCTTGATGTCGTCAATCTTATGCCCTGTGTCAATTATGTGTTTGGCGATCGATGAACATGGTTTTCTATTTCCCACACTAATCAGCTCATCTGACGTTGAAGCCACTTAGGAACATGTTCCATAACCCTTGACTGCAAAGTCCGATTACTCTTCTCGCTGTTCTATTAAAATTTATAAAAGGGACTAATTGTTTTAATACTCTATTTCCTACACTGTTCATATTGATTCAGGTGAAAGATTGAACAATCAACCTTTATACATATTCGTTTGAATGAATTGTTTGTTTAAATTACGCAGCGTATTCTGTTCCCACTTTTTGACCCTAAATAATTTTCATTTTCATTTCGCTTTTATCTTTCAGAAGAATCGAAAATTTATTCCCAAACAGAATATTGTCTTACAGAATTCGATTCAGTATCATGCTGGCCACGGACAAAAGGTGGAACAATCGCTAAAATACCATGTCCATCACATGTTCCAGGCGTTAAAATCACTGGCATTGTTTATCGTCCATGTAATTCAACTATGCAAACATATGATTCCAATGGTCGACAAACAATTGTTTGGAAATTCGATAGATCCAACTACAGCGACTGTGTACATCAAGAGGACATTATGGCTGTAGGTGTGCTCAATGTTTGTATCATAATGATTTATTTTGAAATGGTTAATAAATAAATTTCACTGACTTACTGTGAAGAAGGATGTGAGAATAATATGCACTGTAAGTGTTAATAAGAAAGGTAAATAAGAAAATTAGGAAAATAAGAAAGCAAGAAACTCCACTAACTTACCTAAGGGATAAAAACATCAATGGTCAGCTCGATTTGACAATTTGCTTTAGTCAATCAAATTAGCTCTAGATGTTAGTTAGTTAGTTCATTCATCAAGTGTATTTATTATCAACCAAATTATTTATAAAATGCATTTATAAACGAACATTGTCATTAACAGTCAGATTTTCACTAAACTTTACTTTGCTACACAGAAATATTTGTTTTTGTAAATACTGGGAAATATTCAATCCAACAAGTTAGTTTATGAGTGGATAATAACAATGAATAGATTGCGTAACTGTATATAACTTAGTAAAAGTGTAAATTAATAGTTAGAAGATAGATGTACTAGTAATGATAAAATAATAATATAATTTTAGAATTTTAATTAATAGTTCAACTAAGGATGTAATTTGGATAAGTAGAAATGAAGTTGATCATTATTAAAAACTAATAAAATTGAGGGAAGAATGATCTACTCATATAAAAAGAAGAGAGTTAAGAGAGAAAAAAATTAGAAAAATTGTTTATTAAAATAGATTTAGTTAAAGAAGAAACAGATAATTTATGAATTATTACACAGTACATAAACTAAGATTATTCGTTGGGATCACTATGGGTCTCACTAAATATATGAAACGACAAAAGTATGCAATTGTAGTGTGTTGATTTACTGCGTGTTCTCAAGCTCGGTAATTAGTTCGTCTAGACAAAATCGTTACTAAATAGCGTCTGACGGTTCGTAAATCAGAAGATGAACTCGTTTATTTGGGACACACCACAAAGCGAAGCGGAGAAGCAGTGAATAGAACGAAAGAAGCGACATTAATTGGAGAAGGCTGTTGAGCCAACTCCCAGGATTACAATGCGAGCGAATGGGCGAAGGGAGCGCATGAACAGGAGAAACGCGTTGGAGAAGGCTAATGAGCCAACTCCAAGAGATAAAGCGTGGCTAAGAATATATAGTCAGACAAATATAGGACAGACATGCGACAAGCGAAATAGGCACACATGAATAAAAGCGACGAATAGTTGACAAGGTCAGATGACAAGTGGGACATGTCATGTGAGCTCCCCATACAAACCAGACAATAATGGGAACGAATAGTACATAGAAATCGTTGCAATACACAGGTGGCTTGGTTGATTAAATTAATCTAAAGGGCTTAACCAAGTTAAATGTAAGCGAGCTGGAATATATGTGGAGGCACTACACAATAATTTAGTAGAATTTTGTACCAAATATGACTTAATGAAACCATTTCACATATTTTTCTCGCACTAAGTTTGTTAGTCTTTCTTCATACGCTTCCATGTGTATTTATTAGTTTAGTTTTCTACTTTATTAAACTGTTTGTCCTGCCAGATAATAAGCCTAGAGTTGTATTTTGCAATCAAAAGACAAAATAATCATGCTCGCTAACGACTTAAACTCGCTTGAAATGATTTAAACTTGTACGGTCTGTTAACCTTACTAAGCAATGTCATGTCTATTTTGTGCAGCTGTATTAAAATGCTTAGATGTCATGATAAATTATTTACATTTGTATTCATTTCGATTATATATAGATACATTTGCCTATTATACAAACATCTGTGTTTTATGGTTACGCGATCTCTATGGTTTTATTACTAATAGCAACAGGAATTATTTTACGGTTTCGGTAAGTGATAGTTTTCTACTAGTTGTCTGACATAGTTTGTGTGGTCATAATATTTTCTATGCTGAATGTCCTGATAAAAATAAGGATTATCTTCATTGTGTTATTTAGAGTCATTATTATTATTATTATTATTATTATTATTATTATTATTATTATTATTATTATTATATTAGGCACAATCGTTTACATGTTCAAGTGAATGTCTAATATGTTAGTTGATTGCTAATGACTTATTTCTGAGAAATTATAATGACAACTGTTGGAAAAATTAACCGTTATGGTTTCCAAAATTAATTTCCAGAGATTTTAAACCACGAATCGATCTTATTTAAACTATCATTGAAAACCGGGAAGTACTAAATTACTACTTTGTCCCTGAATAGTAGTTATTCTCTGCAGTAATGATAGAACACAGAACCTTACGATGTCTGACACAAAAACGACTAATAGTGAAACCACATAGTCAGCACTCAGCAAGAATTGACTGAAGTTACTTATGGTTACTGATTGTTCAACATTCTTCATCAAACCTTATACTGGTAATCATATTGCGCTTACTAGTATATGGATACAAGTTACGACTCCTGAAATTCTCTTGCTAAGCCTTGACCACTAGAATTCATCTAGGTTGGATTATTACAGTTATCCACTGCGTGCTGTGAACGAAGATTGCACGACACCACAGATTAATTGCAGTTAGACAATAATATGGTTGAACGCCAACCCAATGTCCTAGAGGGTGAGTGTTCACATGAGTGTCCGAAGGTTCACAGTTCTGTGCTCTATAACAGTGTCATGGATGAGCGCTATTGAGTATTCTCATATTGGGACAAAACAGTCATTCAACAATTGCAGGTTATCGATGATAGTTTAACTAAGATCGAATCGTGATTTAATTCTATGAAAATTCTCCAATCTCCACAAAATCCGATTTTTGGTAAAATTGAGTTTAATTAATTTTGATGTAGTTCGATTACTTATATTACGGAGTTGTTGTGAAGATTGTTAAGTTTTATTTCAAACCATGAATCGATCAATGTCCGGCAACCATTAGAAACCTGCAAGCACTGAAACACGGCCGTTTCGTCCTGGTATGGGACTCCTCATCAGTGGCAGTGCGCATCCACGACTCCTGCACCCCACAGGATTCGAAACCAGGACCTCCGGTATTGTAGGCGAACGCCTAACCATCGGACTACTGAGCCGTTATCTAACGGTATTATCTCCGAGTTCTAGTGGGAGGACGTGACCATTGAAGTTCAACCTGTTCGGGTGTAGACAGTAACTACCGAAGACTGTGTATGAGGTTGCGCAACTCCGTGAATTGATCAAGTTAGACAATAACACCGTTAGATACTGGTGCAGTGGTCCAACGGTTAGGCGTTCGCTTACAATACTGAAGGTCCTGGATTCGAATCGTGCAGGGTGCAGGAGTCGTGGATGCGCACTTCTGACGAGTCCCATACCAGGAGACGAAGTTGACTGATATCCATACCGACTCACATAAACTACCCGAGGCACAGTGTTAAACTTTATTGATTGTTTGACAATGGAAAGCATATATAAGACAGCCACCTCCATGTTTGATTTCGAGGTAACAGAGAAAGAGTTGATTGTTCAGAATATTTCATTGTGAATCAGGCATTGAGGGAGAGAAAAATATCTTTTTGACGAGCGTGAAAAAAGTTTTGGCTAGTAAAGCTAAGGTTCCTTATGGCCAAAATTTGATTTAGAAGAGGACGTGCATCGATGAGTGATATGTTTAGTAAGGAGCTATGAAGTGTGAAAAATTGGTATCTACATTTCAGTGGTGATTAGACAATGGTCTGGTTTGTATGCCTGATTGTGTCAGTTATGGTTTGAACAAGTTGTACTGAAAGTCGAACGGACGGTGTCTGTGGACCAAAAACGTCATTATTACAGTAAAGTAAACTTATTCGGTGAAATTGATTTAGTAGACAGCTGGGAAATTCAACTACTTGCTGGTGTTGAGTTTACGGTGCGTAAGCTAATAGTTAATTTTGTCCATTTCGGGAAGTGGTGAGTATAGTTATATTTGGCAGATTCCTTACAGATAAATGTCGAGTATCAACCATGGGACACGTTAGTTTCTTTCAGTTTGTATATCATTAGATCAGCATATACTCCGTTTTTGTTGACGAGTATGAAAAAGGTTTTGGCTAGTAAAGCTGAGGTTCCTAAGGCCAAAATTCGATTTTGAAGCGAAAATGCATTATAAGTAATAAGTTTAAATCGGAGGCATGAAATGTAAAAGAACCCATTACATCCTTATAGACACTACGAATTTCGCCGGTAACTAGATTATGGTTTGTTTGGTTTGTTCGTCAGTCTGGTTAGCGTTCTTTTAGCGAGTTAGTTTTTCGTAGGATTGGGTCTTCAACCCTACGCCCAACCCTCCTCCTTTATCCGGGCTTGGGACCGGCAGTAGCCCTAGAGTGGCTCCACGCTGAGCTCGTTCGTCATTTAATGTTCGATAAATTAAAGATTTACTACATATAAAACAAGAAATTATTCGCATTGTAGTGCCTCCACATACATTCCAGTTCGCTTACATTTAATTTGGTTAAGCCACTTCGATTAATTTATTTAAACAAGCCATTTGTATTGCAACAATTTATATGTACCATTCGTTCTTAATATTGTCTGGTTTGTATGAGCTCACATGACATGTCCCACTTGTCATTTGACCTTGTCAATCATTCGTCGATTTTATTCATGTGTGTGCACGCCTATTTCGCTTGTCGCATGTCTGTCTTATTTTTACCTGACTATATATTCCTAGTAATGCATTGTAATCCTGGGAGTTGGCTCACTAGACTTCTTCAGCTAGCTTCTCCTGTTCATTCGCTTCCTTCGCCCATTCGTTCGCATTGTAATCCTAGGAGTTGGCTCACTAGCCTTCTCCACATTGCTTCTCCGATTCGCTTTGTGTGGTGTGTCCCACATAAACATATTCAACACTACGAGTTCACCTGATTTATAAACCGTCAGACGCTATTGAGCCACGATTTTCTAAACAAACTAATCACGAAGATTGGGAACACGTCGCCACCACAGCATTAAACATGTTTGTAGTAATAATAGTGGCACTGTATTGTATGAAAACTGTTTCTAGTTCACTTACTACAGATATAATTCTCTTTTTACTTTCTGTAATATTTTTTCTTCAAAATCTTATTAACTATACACAATCATTTTTCTATCCTAAAATTAGACTGAATTAAATTGACGATTGAGATTATAAAATAGATTTTTAGAAAAAAAAGAGAAAAAAGGGAGATTCTATCTATTTTTGCTATTATCTTAGAACTAATTGATACAATTAAACGAATTAATTTTTCCTTTTTTTGGGATAAAGATATAAAGTATTGCTAAATTTAAGTGGAAAGACTACGATAATTGTTTAGGAGAATATTCATGGAAAAAGTAAGAGAAAAAAAAATTTCATAGTTCTAGTGAATGTAGTGTGTCGATTTACTGGCGAGTTCTAAAACTTTCATGATTAGCTGGTCTAGATAATCGTTACTCAATAGCGTCTGTCGGTTTATAAATCAGAAGGTGAACTCGTAGTGTTGAATATATTTATGTGGGACACACTACACAAAGCGAAGCGGAGAAGCAATGTGGAGAAGGCTAGTGAACCAACTCCCAGGATTACAATGCATTACTAGGAATATATAGTCAGGTAAAAATAAGACAGACATGCGACAAGCGAAATAGGCGTGCACACACATGAATAAAATCGACGAATGATTGACAAGGTCAAATGACAAGTGGGACATGTCATGTGAGCTCATACAAACCAGACAATATTAAGAACGAATGGTACATATAAATTGTTGCAATACAAAAGGCTTGGTTAAATAAATTTATTGAAGTGGCTTAATCAAATTAAATGTAAGCGAACTCGAATATATATGTGGAGGCACTGCAAGAATTCAAATTCTGATCCGATTTAATTTGATTTTAAACAAGTTTATCATCAATTGATAAACTTTATTATTTGGAAATTATTATCATTAGTTCCTCAAATACGACAAAACTGAGTACGTATTTTTAAAATGGTTATTTCGCTTAAATTGTACGACATCCAATTTCATGAAGAACAACATGAAAACATATGTTAAACAAAATAAAATAATTTGACTGTTTTTGGTACAACATAAAAATTTCCTCAAAGTGACATACCAATAAACAGATTATATCTTCCTCCTCATCATTTAACATGGTTACTGATAGATAATGTGATAGAAATGTTAAAACAACTTAGTACTCTCTCTCGATGCTCATCAGACGATTTAAGATAAAAACATCAGGCATAAGAACTATATAGAATACGAGAATATAGTTGGAATACGGTGGTTCAGATTTCACTTAAACATCCAAAATATCTTCTACCAAGGGAGTTGTATACGATGAAAAAACCTGTCGAACTACGATGGATTCTGTATACAATTTAAAATCATCCTATGGACTGGATGAGTTGGTGGAATGAATGTTAGAAGATCAATGTTGTTATTCCATTTTCTCTTTCTTGTACAACCATACTGAAATTTTTCTTGAGCGTAAGTAATGAATTTACTAATTGTTCATTCTGACATGTGAGTAAGGCAAACAGACGATTGAGGAGCTGCATGAAATGTTATCCTAATCGCAATTACTCTGTTAAAACTGCTTTTAATGAACTCATGAAATATATGTACTGGAAACCTTGTTGCTATCACATTACGGGGATGTGAAGATTAATAAGTTACACATATGAAATCATGAATCGATCAATGTTAGACTATCATTAGAGACCTGGAAGCACTGGATGGCCATTTCTGCCTGGTATGGGACTCATCAGTGGCAGTGAGCATCCACGACTCCTGCACCTCGCAGGATTCGAACCCTGGACCTTCTGTCTAACGCCTAACCTCTAGACCACTGAGTCAGTATCTAACAGAGTTAATTTCTAATTTCGATGAATTCACGGTCTT